CAATTTATATTTCATTTCTTAAGAAATACTTCCCTTGGACCTCCAGTCTAAATTAGTCCCTCTTATTCTCTGTCAGTATCCTATTCTCCTTCATCACCTTTATCCTAAGTGTTGCTATATGTTTGTTTGTTATCTTTTGGTTCCATCTCTGTCTTTTCCAGGGGGACAAGATGGGGATATCTATTTGGGGTAACACCGTATCCCCCATATTTTCACCATGCAGTGAGTTGGTACTTGATTTCTATTTGCTGAGTGAAATGTTGTTTCACTGTTAAAAAGACAAGGCTGACATCTTTCCAGTGGGCTGGAATCGGAGCACACTGTCCATACTGCATCCTGGACTGAGCTTCTCACTGACCCCACTCAGGGCTCCCAAGGCTGTGAGAGACGCTGGGCGCACCACGGACACAAACAAGGGCAGAACAAAGTGGGGGGTGGGGGACGGGAGGTGAGAGGTGTGAGCTCACTGCTTTGGGTTTCCTATTCTACTGTAGCAAATCTCTACAAAGTTAGCAGCTTAAACAACACAAATTCAGTATCTTATAGGTCTGGAGGTTAGAAGGCTGAAATGGATGTCACCAGGCCAAAGTCAAGGTCTGGGCAGAGCTGTGTTTCTTTCCAAAAGCCTGGGGAGAAAACCTGTCTCCTCACCCTCTTCAGTGTCCAGAGGCTTTCTGAGCTCCTCAGCTCCTGTTTGCGTCCTCCCTTTTCAAAGACAACAATATTCAATCTCTGACCGTTCCTCCTTAGGCCCATGGTCCTTCTCCACGCATCTCTGCTCTCCTTTCCACTTTTAAAGACCTTATCCTGGGCCCACCGAGGTAATCCAGCATCATCTCCCCATTTCGAGGTCCATCATTTAATCACACATATAAAGTAACATATTCACAGGTTCCAGGGATCAGGACTTGGACACCTTGCAGAGGGTGGGTGAAGACGATTCTCCGTATCCTACTGGTGTATTATTCCCAGGACAAGTCTCCAAAAAACAGGTGAAGGGGTCTTAGTTTCACATCTGCCAGTTCCTCTGAGGAGTGAGGGGATTGACTAAGAAATAAGTAAGGATTAGCACATTGATTAATAAACAAAAGGAGCAGCAGAATCCTCACGCCAAAGAGTCCCATTCTCCAGTACGTCAGCCACAACAGTCAATAAAAGCCAGCTGTGAAAACATTCCAGGCCCTGAGAATACTATGTTAAATAACAGGCTGCTGTGATAAGAAATTTCTGATATTTGTTAATCAGAAATTGGGAGGTATTTGGAGGTAAATTTCAAAGCCATCGATTGGTGTCAGGAATGATTTCAACTACAAATAAAGGATAACCACATTACAGGGGCTTATGCAATAAAGACATTTGATTATTTCATGTAACAAAAAGCCCGGAGGAAGGTGGTTCTAGCGTGGGGTATTATCAGGAGGAGCAAAGGCCTAGACTCTCTTGACCTTTCTGCAGTCTCTATTAAGTGGGTCAGTGATGTCTCCCCTAATGGTGGGAGGTTGGCTGCCAAAATTCCAAGAATTGTGTCCTCAACAGAACATGTTCCCAATCACAAAAGAAGGGGATAAAGAGGAAGACACTTTCTCCTCCTGCTGCTCCTTCTTTTATCAGAGAAGAACTTGTGGAGTTCACCACAGATCTCATTGGCCAGGCAGGTCGCATAACTACCCTGGAAAAGGGGAATGAGATTGCACGATGGGCTCAGTCTGACCAGGAGTCATCGTTTGGGGATGGGCACATTGTCACACTGGCAGAACCGGGGTCCTGCTAAAAGAGAAGAGGTGAAATGGCTATTGAGTATGCACCTGTGTCTATCAGATAAATATTAGTCCTCATTTTTTTTTTAAATGTGCTAATGCATATGTAGGTAAATCTCCATTTAGAATAAGGCAATCTCATTGACTGGACCACACCACTTTTAGTCCTTTTATACGCAGTTTATAACTTAAGTTTATCTAATTTTATGTAGAAATGAAAAAAGCAAAGTCGTTAAACTCTATATTCATAGACACATTCCCATGTGGTACCCTTTATCCATTCATTACAAGTTATTTCCTGGGGACCTTCAATAACCCTGGCACAGAGACTAATACTAGGACTGAGAGACATCATTCTCCTTGGGTAATGACTATATGGATAGTTGAGAGCTATGATGGGGTCAAGAGCAAGGAACAAGGACATGATCCTCAGGATAGAAAGGAGGACTAGCTTTATCTTCTGGTCAGAGAGAGTTTTTGGAGGATGTGATACTTAAAGAGAGATCTGGAGAACAAATGGAGTTAACCAGGCTGAGGTCGGATAGTGAATTCAGACTCTATCTCAAGGAAAATGGAGAGTGACATAATCAAGTTTGCATGGGAGAAATCAGGGCCACTAAAAGATTGCTTTATTGGCCTGATTGCTCCTGCACCCATGCCCTATCTATGGCCTCACACTTAGCCGAGTGTGCTTCCCTACCTCTTGACTTTGGGCCAAGCCATATGGCTTGACTTTCATCATTGGCATGTGGGTGGAAGTGACCACGTGTCATTCTAAGTCTAGGCTTAAGCCTTGGGTTTTCCCATCTTTTCTCTTGTACCCCTGCCTTTACCATGAGAAGAATATGGCTTGGGCAATCTACTAGGTCTGGGAGGAAGATGGGAAATAAATGGAATGGAGCCATCCCAGCTGCTACAGCCTGAAGCATTGCCGGCCCAGCTGCTCACACAAACTCATAAGGGAGAATAAATGTTTTTGTTTGCATGCCACTGAGATGTTAAGGTTTTGCAGCATGTAGCATTATTGTACTCATAGCTAAGTGAGAGAGAGAGAGCCACGCTAGAAAGAGAGTGATGTATTAGGAGACTATTGTAGTTGACAGACTCAAAAGGTACCTAGAAAATAGAACTGTCAGGACACAGGAGCTTATAGAGAATGTGAGTTAAGAATGTCTATTTGGGTTCTTCCTTGGATAAATATTCACTGAGGTGGGGAACACCAGGGGAAATGATGTGCTTAGGTACGTTGGATTTGAAGGCTGTGAGATATCCAGGTGGAGATGTCCAGTAGACAAGGGAGAGAGGTCACAGCTGGGTCATCAAGGAACATACCAGTGGACAATAAAGCAGTGGGTCTGGGGAGGTTTACCCGGGAAGAGAGCACAGAGCTAGAAAATGTGCAGGAGAGAACTTTGAAAAGACCAGCATTCAAGGACAAGGGAAGAACCAGCATGGAGGGAAGTCCAGGAAGAGCAGCATCCGCCAGCAAAGGGCCTGGCCAATTCTGCAGGAAGCTGGAGAGGAAGGAGGCAGAGAATTTATAAGGAACCACAAAGAACTTGGCTACTGTACAAAGAAAGGAACAAAGGAAGAAATCTTAACCCAAGAGAGTTCAGACAATACAATCCCACAGTAGGTGAGTCGAAAGAAAAAAAGGATAAAAGAAGAAGAAGAAAAAGAAGAAAGGCCACAGCCTAGCTACAAGATCCGATGCAGGGCAAGTAAAAGTGAGCTCCAAGGGCATTTTGAGTCACTGTCCTATCCTGACCCCTCTGGGTGGGTAGTGCCTTGGAGAAGAGCTTTCCTTTCTTGCAGTAGGTCACCATGTCATCCCAGCCCCTTTTGAATCCATGAGAATCTGCATCTGTCAGGTGCCTGGGCTGGCCAGGGTCCCTCTGACTCATTTCCGACTGATCTGGGGTGAACTTTCTGATTGCCCTGGGGGCCTCTGTTTGATCCAGCCGGCTTCCAGCAATGGGAGCCTGGTGACTCCTGCTTTCAACAGCACAGCAGCTCTTTGACTTGAGTTCTGGAATCTGAATTCCATAGACCAGCTGTGGCTGAAGTACCTGTCCCCCTTCTGTGTCTGGCAGGGAGTGGCACTGGAGGAGAGGTGGGGACGTGAGCTGTTGGGGAGTCAGGGCTTGCACTGGTATACACTGGCCCCTGAGCCCCACCCGAGACTTGCCAGCTCCCAAACAATTACTTCGTTTATTACCTCAGCGACTGCTTAGGTTGGGGAATGCCAGACACTTGAAGTTTGTTTTCCTCTTCAATTGGAACTGACATTTCCTCACGATTGGATTACTTTGAAATCAAGAAATTGCAACTCAGATAGTTCATAAATTTATTTCTGTTCCACCCTGTAGGATTTATTACAAAGACTGATCAGCCAAAGAATATGAGCTTTCTGCTCTTTATTTCCTTTTTTTATTGCATTCACCTTTTAAGATAGGATGGTGTGGTTAGCAGGGTGGGGACAGTAGGTGGGGATATAGCTGAGCAGAGACGAGGGTCCTGGCTTTCTTCGACACAATGCTTATTTCATCCACAACCCCCCCCCCCCCGCCCCCAGGAAGACTCTGGGGAAAGATATGAAGTGTCCTGGGGGAGAAAGGTACAGAAGCAATAGGTAAAGAAATACCAGAGGCAAAACCAGGGCAATTAGAGAGGATCAGCCATTCTCTCCTGTCCTGTCCCCTGCAGTTATCTTTAGGGACAGTTACAGAAAGGGTCCTTGATGAGAAGGAAGAGATTGTAAACTCAGAAGTTCAGAAGAGGCATTCTGGGACTTTTGAGGACCCAAAGTCAGTCCTTGTTTGTGTATGAAAGAGAGAGAGAGAGAGAGAGAGAGAGAGAGACACTTAGTTGTTAGGCAGACTTTTATGTACCACTGGCAGACTCTGGGTAAGGAACTGGGGCCCTAACAAGGAACTGTTTCTGACCTCCAGAAGATTTCGGTTTGGTGGGGTCATTGAGAGCCAGGGTAGGGTGCACTATAGAGGGCTTTCTGGAGGCCCCAGAGTCTGAGCTGGATTCTGCCTGGAAGACCCCTATGATGTGAGGCAATGACCTTCTAACTTGTTAGATTCAGAAAAGGAGGGAGGCATTCAGGGCAGAAGCCCCACCAGGAATGACAGTTGTACCTACGACAGTTTCACATGGTGGTTAGGAATCTCCTGAGCTGAGAGCTCGACTTTGTCGTTAGCTAGCTCTGTGACCTTAACCGTTTTTTTGTTTCAGTTTCTTTGTTGCAAAAGAGGACACGAATGACTAATCTCATAGAGATACTGAGAAACTGAGGAGAAACTCCGTGTCAACTCCATGGATGGTATGGGCACAACAAGAGTGCTCAGAAACGCCAGCTTTGACAACGGGGCAGGACTTGACTTTGTGTGTAGCTTTCAGAGGAGATGAGGAAGGTGAAGAATACCCAGGGCCTGCATCTTTGTTCCTGGGGTCCTGTCCACATGGGACAGATAGTCCACCCAAAAGTTAGCAAGCCACTTAATTTAATTGAGAAAAGGAAAGCAATTTTTTTTCTTCATCCATCATCTGGCTGTTTAGGGTTTTAATATCAGATGCAATTTCTAATTACTTTCTTGTGAAACAAATGGCTAGCAACATCTACCTTTCAGATCTGAGAGAATGAAATCTTAAATGGGTTAAATAACTTATGCCCAATCCTACATTGAGATCATTGAAGAGAAGGAGCCTGACCTCTGACCTTATAAACTATAGGGCTAGGCCCCCTAATAAATCTCCTCCCTCCCTGTCACTCACTGTCTAGCAAGATCCTTCTCCCACTGTGGTTGAGCTGGTCATACAGGATGAAATGATTTTATTAGAACAAGCCATGCTCAGAAACAGAAATGTCACCTCAGATATCTTCTGGGATATTTATTTTAATACAAAGGTTAGTTCTATCTACAATGGGCAAATACTAAGCCATCGATTCTCTGAGGCTTCCCTGACAGCCAAGAATGGAAGCAGATCAAGAAGCTAGCTCTGAAGAGTCAGCAGAAGGGCATGGGGGGCATCTGGCACCCCTTTTAATGGTGAGTGGGAATGTGACTATGTGTTGTCACTCTGCTCATCTCTTCATCCAGAGAAAAATCGTGGCTTACAGTTACAGAAAGTCAGTAGCTGGAATTATTAGTAACAGCAAATGAAGCTGTTTGCACAGCAAGTCATTTGTGGGCATATTTTATAATGAGTAATTTCTATTACTTAAATATTAATTAATTCATGTACTAAGAAATGTATTGACTTTACTTATGGTGTATGGCTGCACTTCTAGCTTAAAAATCATTCCGTATTGTGTTCCTTAGGCAATTAAAACACACCGTTTACTTGTTCTATTTGTGGCTAGGTGTAAGACTTCAACCTCTGGGAAAGAGGTTTATATAAAAGAACCACATTCAAACTCTGGTCCTTGCAGCATGATGCTTTAGCATACCAATAACATTCCCAGAACATCCCTTAGTAATTTTTCTAGACAGTCTCCCTATCATTGGGTTCACTGGCTCATCTATAAAGTCAGGAGCTTGTGAAAGCTATGCATGCAGCTGCCATTTTAAAACAATGACCTGGCAGGTTCTGGGTTTTCTGCAGAAAAGTTTCCTGGGTAAGTTCCTTCACCTCTCTAAGACTATAGCCTCCTGTCTAGGCACGTATTAAGAAGGACAGAGAGAAAGGTGGCAGTTATCCTTAAGCATTCTCAGAGCTCTAAATTTGAATGAGTTAATGGAATAAGTGAATGTGTTTCCTTGCAGGTACATTGAAGTCCTGACTGCTGAATACAGGGGGGAAAAAAACAAAAAAGATTAATGGGCCAGAGTCTCTGGAGGATTCATGGCCGACAGACATGAGCTGCTTGTTCCCGTTTAGTATCTCTGCATCTTCCTGACGGCTGAATTTTACTATTTGACTCCTTCCATCCCTTTTAACAACAGGCTGCACATAAAATAAAATCTATTGAATCTGAGATGAAGCCCTAGGCTGATGCTTTATGAGATATTCTGGAACATTTTTCCAAGTTTATTTACAAGAGGGGAGTCTTTATATTCCACTTATTGGACATATTAATTGTTTTTGTTTTTGTCACAGGAAGACAAGACAAGGTTAGGGCTAAAAGCCCCTTGTAGAAAAAAAAAATCAACTCTGGGATATAAATATATTGTATTGCTACTGCTGACTTAGGACTTTGTAGGTCAGTTGATTTCAGCAACCTTGAGAGTTCAAGATTATAGATTTGCATTTCATGTAATTCCATTAGTTTTGTTCTATTTCATGCTATCAAGCAGAAATAAATAAGCAATGCGGTACAGTTACAAAAATAGACATTAGAAAAACAGGTGACCTAGATATGACTTCAATATTCATAACTGATCTAAAGGATAAATTACAATTTTAATAAATGTAGTTGGAAAATTCAGTATTAGAGGGGGGAAAAAATTTACTTACGTATTCCTCCCACAGCATTTTACATAAATTTTCAAATGGATGAAATGGATAAGAGAGCTTAAAATATCACAAGAAATCAGAGAAGGACTTTTCTCTAACATCTTTATGATAAAGAACTTTTTAAACATAAAAACAATGGGGAAAGATCAAATAAATATGATTAATAAAAATTTAAAACATGAATTTTAAAAAAATCAATGCTCATATTCAAAGACAAGCTGAAGAAAATGGAAAGCAGGCAGGGATTCTGGGACAATAGCAACGAGAGTGGCATAGTTTTAAAATCACCTGTGATTCCCATGTCAAAACAGAGCAATGAGATAACAAAAAAATTAAAAATGCATGGACAATACTTAAAGCAAAGTTAAGTGATAAGGAATCCCCACAAACTCCAAAATACAAGCAGATGAAATCACCAATAGCTTTAAGATCTGCAAGGGATCAGCGCATGCGCCAGAGGAAGCTGAAAAAGGGAGGGGGAAGTTAAATGATTTGAGAATATAGTAACCTCGAACCTACAGCTCAGAAGCACAGCAGGGCTGCAGGTGAGCCCAGGAGAGATTTGCATGACTATATTAGTGTTCTCCAGAGAAACAGAACTAACAGGATACATACAATCAGTCCTCCACATCTGCAGGTTCTGCACCCATGGATTCAACCAACCACAGCTTAAAAATTATTTTTTTTTAAAAAATGCATCTTTGTTGAACATGTACAGACTTTTTTCATGTCATTATGCCCTTAACAACATAGTGTAAAAACTATTTGTCTACCACGGCCATTGTATTATAGATGTTATAAGTACTTTAGAGCTGATTTAAAGGGTGGAGAGGATGTGTGTAGGTTATATGCAGATATTGCACCTTTTATATGAGAGACTTGAGTATCCACAGATTTTGGTATCCATGGGGGTGTCCTGAAACCAAACCCTCATGGATACGAAATGAAAATTGTACATTTGGATATATGAAGAGAGTTATTATCAGCATTATCTTATATGATTATGGAGGCTAAGAAGTCCTGTGATATGCTATCTCTAAGCTGTAGATACAGGGAAGATGATGAAGGTATAATTTTCTAAGGTCTAAGGGAGCTGCTGGTCGAAGTCCCCAAATCCAAAGGCTGGAGAACCAGAATCTTTGGAATCCAAGGGCAGCAGAAGATGAATGTTCCAGCTCAAGAAGAGAGACAAAGAATTCACTCTGCCTCCACTTTTGTGTTCTCTCTGGGTAGGTTCTCAACAGATTGGATGCTGCCTGCGTGATGCCCACTCACCTTGGTCACAGCAGATTTTTATACTCAGTTTACTGATTCAAATGCTTTTACTTGCTTTCTGGATATTTCAGTAAACCACGGCTTCTCAATTTGTGGCCAGGGCCTGCCTGCCTGCCTTCTTTCCTTCTTTTCTTTCCTGCTTTCTCTTCTGTACTTGCAGCCTCACCTAATAGCAAAAAACTCTGGAAATTGTAGTGATGTTTGAAATCATCCCTCAAACCATGCCACTTTGCAGGATTTGGAGATTTCTGTAAAAGGTCTTTGTATATAGATGTGCTTTCTCTTTGATTTTGAAAACAATTTTTCCTGATTTTTGCTGTTTATGTATTCTTACATGGCTTGATTGGCTTCGTGCAATTTTCTGCCCACACCTAATATTTCTCCGGTATAAAATCACCCATAGCCAAACACAAAATTTGTGTTATGCTCTACTTGTTCCCTAATATATCAACTGTTTTTGAACAGTTAGGATTTAGAAATAAGTGTTATAACAGAACTGAATGGGTATAGATCTCCTGTTTAGTCCAACTTAAGGGCCATAAAAAGCAATAAAAACTCAGAGTAGAAACAAGCATCCTGAGTAGCCAGTCACTCCCCACCCACTCTAGTGTTGGGGATCAAACCCAAGGCCTCACACATGCTAGGCAAGCATTTTACCACTGAGCTATATCCTCAGCCCCTAGACTAAGATCTCAAAATACTAAGTTTTACTAAAAGGAATCAGGGCTTTCAGGGGAAATGTCTGATGTGAGGTCTGGGGTAGGAAATGAACATTCCACATGACAGCAGAGCTATTAGAGGCTACTGGAGTCATATCACAAGGACTCCAGAGCTAATTGAAGAAGCTCCCAATGTCCCAAATGGGACTTTTGTATTTCAAAAAACATCAAAACTGTATAAATGTATTTAAATTAATCAGTTATGTTTAAATCCATGGATTCCTAGCAATATTTGGAAAAAAAAATAACTAGTCACTTTGGATGGATGAAAGAGGTATATTCATTATTTTGAAAACTAAAGAATTAAGTGTTTTTTCTGCCTTTGCTTTATGATCTGTACCACTGGGTAACCAAATCATAGATGAGTGAAAACATCTCTTTATGGAAGCGTTCCAACTAATAAAAAGAAATGGTAGAATTAGAACATTACCATTTTGCAACCTCCAGTGACTTAATAGATCTAGGCACTGAACATCAACAGCTGCTAACATCACAAGGAGAGAGACATGCACACATTATTTGCCTCCTGATGAAAAGCACAACACCATCTATAATCTTGCCAAAGGGATCAAATTTAAGTCTAATCAAGCCTGTGGATCTAGCTACCAATTTGCAGGAAATACAGAGCTCAAAGGAATATATCGAACTGTTCCTTAAATATGCAATCAGACAAATCCAGACTGTGGGAAACTGTACAGATTAAAAGGCTCAGATTCCTAAACAGAAAATTTAAGAGTGTAAGAGAGAGTCTAGGTGGAACTTGTGGGTTTAAAAAAAAAAAAAAAACTTAAAGACACAGCAAATTTTTTAAAATTGGCAAGGCTAAATTATGGTGTCTTATGGATGCATATATTTTGGTAAAGCTGTTAAGAAACACAAGGAAGTGGTTGCTATAGGAATCAGAATACTCAGTAATTCAGTTAAACTAGAGAAAAATAACAGAAACTGCATTTCCTACGCAACTGTGTATGAGGATTTAGAGCCATGCCCACTTCATAGGCCTTTATAGGAGAGCCTCTTAAATTTTGCTTTATTTTAGGATTATTCGTAGGTGAGCCTCACTAGCCAGATTTGTACCACTGTGGGAGCAGCTATTGGGCCTCACACCCCAGGAGATTTCACCTGAATAGTTTGCTTTAACCATTTAACTGAGAAAAACCCTTCACCATCCTCCTGTGGGCTGAGGCTGTTTCCTGGGATGAACAGAACAGCCATTTTCTTCCTCAATCTCCTCTCTCAGGTCCTGGGGACATTCGGTGTTTGCTTTTTTTCCCTCCATTCAGGAAAACAAAAAAACAAAAACAAATGCCTGGCCGCCAGAGTTGTTTTCCTGACTCTCTCTCTTCAGGAGCCCAAGAGTACTATTTGGCTGTTTCACGATAAGCCAATTAGATAAAGATTGTTAATCAGAGTAATGAAGGGACCAGAGGAAAGGGAAGGAGGGCAGGAACCTGGCAGAAGTAGTAAAGGAAGACGAGAGGACCCCTCCCCCTCCCTCTGCTCTGATGTTTTATTCAGGCTATTTGCAAATGAGCCAGCAGAAACGGCATTAACAATAAATGAGATGCATCAGGCAGGAGAGAGGATGGGGAGGGAGGCTGGAGTCTGTTCTTACCAGCCAGGCTCACAGGCTCCTTTTCTGGTCAGCCCAGGTGAGCTCTTCTCCGGTGGGCTCACCTGCTCACCCACCTGTACTGGGGCCTTCTGAAGATGCTCACATCCCATGAAGCAAATGACATTAAGAAGCTCAGAGGTTTTTCTGACAGACGAGCCACAAGATAAATCAACATAAAACCCCAGGGTGGGACACTCACTTTCAGCTTCATCACTGAGCTGCCACAGCTTCGTTAAAAAAACAAATACCTGATTTGTACTGTACTATCAACCATGTACTTTAGCATACAATGTCAAACATTTTTTGCAATAGTCCTAAAGTAGTAGTAATGACTGATTTTATCAGTTAACTGAATAAGATTACGCAGGGCCAGCAAGTCCTCACATTTGAGAATTATGTTTCCATAATTTTTTTCCTTTCGGACAATTTCCATGAGCAAAAGTGTCCCCCATCTACCAATTTACCCACACTTGTATAGTTCCTTCTTTCCACTCACCTGATGCACACAGAGTATCACCATCCCCGAGGACTGAGCCAGGTGGAGATAGAAAATTCCAATGGCCAAAAATCCTATTTTATTTTATAGGCTATCAGCCTGGCAATTTTCCTCTCATATGAATTTGGATTCTACTATAATTAGTAATTCTTAAAACATGACAACAGTTGTCATTCCTTAAGTACTAAGTGCTGAGTACCATGGTAAACTATTCACTCATGCTGTTTCCTTTAAAGCTTTCCCCTCTCAACTCCAGAGCTCCTGCTCTTAACGCATGCAACATACAGTTCTTTCATAAGAAAGAGAAACTAAAGGAGAAAGCTTTGCTTTTCCCCATTGAATTCCCCACCCTTTCATGGTCCCAGTGAAATCTGATATCTAGAGAGACACTTTCTATTTTTCTGACCTGACCATATGATTCTGCCTGCATAGCTACTGTATTTCTTCTTCATACCTATCAGCATCCAGGCTAAGGGTCTTTCCAGAAAAGGGGGACAAAGGAAGGCCTAGTTCCCTTCTCCCTCCTGAAGCT